TTTTTTTTTTTTTTTTTTTTTTTGGTTTTTCGAGACAGGGTTTCTCTGTGGTTTTGGAGCCTGTCCTGGAACTAGCTCTTGTAGACCAGGCTGGTCTCGAACTCACAGAGCTCCGCCTGCCTCTGCCTCCCGAGTGCTGGGATTAAAGGCGTGCGCCACCACCGTCCGGCTCTCTTGTTTTTTCGAGACAAGATTTCTCTGTAGCTTTGGAGCTTATCCTGGAACTAGCTCTTGTAGACCAGGCTGGCTCAAACTCACAGAAATCTGCCTTCCTCTGCCTCCCCAGTGCTGGGATTAAAGGCGTGCACCACCATTGCCATGCGTGAGCTGGTATCTTAAAGGCTATTGGCTGAAGGAGTTCCCATAGCACCTCCCCCTTTTGTCTAAATAGAGAGTTCTAGGCCTAATATAAAACTATATACAATAAAAACAAATATCAAGTATAAAAATTAGAATTACAGAGAGTCATGAGAAGCCATGAGGCCCCACCAGAGACAGACTCCGAACAGAACCTTGCTGTCTCATTCTGAGATTTCTGGAGGTAGGATCACCATTTTGGACTGAGGTAGAGACAGAGAGCAGAAGCCAGGAGCAAATCCAGTCCCAGAAGCCAACCCGGGATACTTACTGGTGGATCTTGGAGAGAGCAGGGATACAAGGAACATACCTAAACACAATAAAGGCAATATACAACAAGCCAACAGCCAACATCAAACTAAATGGAGAGAAACTCCCAAATATTCCACGGAAATAAGGAACAAGACAAGGTTGTCCACTCTCTCCATATCTATTCAGTATAATTCTTGAGGTCCTAGCTAGAGCAATAAGATACCAAAAGGAGGTCAAGGAGATACAAATTGGAAAAGAAGAAGTCAGATTCTCACTGTTTGCTGATGATATGATAGTTTACATAAGTAATCCCAGTAATCCCAAGGAACTTCTACAACTCATAAACATTTTCAGCAGTGTAGCAGGATACAAGATTAACAAAAAAAAAAAAAAAAAAAAAAACAGTAGCCTTCCTGTACACAGATGAAAAAGGGGTTAGGAAAGAAATCAGAGAGGCGGCTGGAGAGATGGCTCACAGGTAAAGAACACTGGCTACTCTTCCAGAAGTCCTGAGTTCAATTCCCAGCAACCACATTGGTGGCTCACAACTGTCTGTAATAAGATCTGGTGCCCTCTTCTGTACTGTAGGTAGGATACATGCAGGAAGAACCCTGTATACATAAAAATAAAAATCTTAAAAAAAAAAAAAGAAATCAGAGAATCAACACCTTTCACAATAGCCACAGATAGCAATAAAATATCTCGGAGTAACTCTAACCAAACAAGTGGAAGACTTGTATGACAAGAACTTTAAATCTTTGAAGAAAGAAATTGAAGAAGACACCAGAAAGTGGAAAGATCTCCCATGCTCTTGGGTAGGCATAATTAACATAGTAAAAATGGCAATCTTACCAAAAGCAATCTACAGAGTCAACGCAATGCCCATCAAAATCCCAGCAAAATTCTTCAAAGACTTCGAGAGAACAGTACTCAACTCCATATGGAAAAGCAAAAAACCAGGATAGCCAAAACAATCCTGTACAATAAAAGAACTTCTGGAGGCTTCACAATCCCTGACTTCAAACTCTACTACAGAGCTACAGTAATGAAAACAGACTGGTATTGGCATAAGAACAGACAGGAGGACCAATGGAACCGAATATCAATCTACACATCTTCAAACACCTGATCTTTGATAAAGAAGCGAAAAAAATATCAAACGGAAAAAAGAAACCATATTTAACAAGTGGTGCTGGCATAACTGGATATCAACATGTAGAAGAATGAAAACAGATCCATATATATCACCATGCACAAAACTCAAGTCCAAATGGATCAAAGACCTCAACATAAAGCCAGCCACACTGAACCTCATAGAAGAGAAAGTAGAAAGTACACTTGAACGCACTGGCACAGGGAACCACTTCCTAAATAGAACGCCAGCAGCACAGACACTGAGAAAAACAATTAATAAATGGGACCTCCTGAAACTGAAAAGCTTCTGTAAAGCAAAGGACACGGTCAACAAGACAAAACGACAGCCTACAGAATGGGAAAAGATCTTCACTAACATCAGACAGAGGTTTGGTCTCCAAAATTTACAAAGAACTCAAGAAATTGGACACCAAAAGAACACATAATCCAATAAAAAAAATGGAGTACAGACCTAAACAGAGAACTCTCAACAGAGGAATCTAAAATGGCTGAAAGATACTTAAGGAAATGCTCAACATCCTTAGTCATCAGAGAAATGCAAATCAAAACAACTCTGAGATTCCATCTTACACCTGTAAGAATGGCCAAGATCAAAAACACTGATGACAACTTATGCTGGAGAGGTTGTGGGGAAAAGGGAACACTCCTGCATTGCTGGTGGGAATGCAAGCTGGTTCTACCCCTTTGGATGTCAGTGTGGCGATTTCTCAGAAAAGTAGGCAACAACCTTCCTCAAGACCCAGTAATACCACTTTTGGGTGTATATCCAAAGGATGCTCAATTGTGCCTCAAGGACATGTGCTCAACTATGTTAATAGCATTAAAAAATGCATAAAAAAGAATTAAAAAAAAAAAGAGTGAACAAGAAGCCTGAGCTAATGGGGGCAGTCAGTTTATAACTAATGTAAAAAGAAGAAGAAGAATGAGTCAGAAACCTATGCTGAGGTAGCCCAGTCAATCCTTATTTTCTAAATTACAACAATCATAAGGACTTTGAGCCACTCTGCTTAAATTTCCAGATTTCTTTGCAGCGGTATAGATTGTAGAGGCTCCAGATACTGCTGTTCCCTGTACAATGTGAGGAAGGACCCAATTTGTTCATTTTATAAACTGAAGTCTCTTACTTTTGGGATATTTGTTGTTAATCTCTCCCCCAAAATTACTGCAATATCTTTGCCAATGTTCATTTTGCTGATAGAGGAAAATTCAGCATTAGTAAAAGATACTACAATTTCTGTTGTGTTCATTCCTGTTCATTGACAAAAATCTCAATTTTCCTATTGGAATCAATTCAGAAATCTTATTTACATAGGTCTTTAAATTTTTTTCTAGCTATTCCTATTTACAAGCCATTCTTTAATATTCAGTTGTAATGGACTTTTTTCTTTTTTTTATATTTATTTATTATGTATAATTTATTTATTTATTATGTATACAATATTCTGTCTGTATGCCTGAAGGCCAGAAGAGGGCGCCAGACCTCTTTACAGATGGTTGTGAGCCACCATGTGGTTGCTGGGAATTGAACTCAGGACCTTTGGAAGAGCAGGCAATGCTCTTAACTACTGAGCCATCTCTCCAGCCCCCGTAATGGACTTTTTTCATGTCAGTTTTGGTTTAAGATTTATTTATTTATTTATTATGTATACAACATTCTGCCTCCATGTATGCCTGCAGGCCAGAGGAGGGTGCCAGATCTCATTACAGATGATTGTGAGCCACCATGTGGTTGCTGGGAATTGAACTCAGTACCTCTGGAAGAGCAGCCAGTACTACTAACCACTGAGTCATCTCTCCAACCCCCTTTAATTTTTTTTTTTTTGCTCTGTTTGTGTGACTAAAATATACATTCCAGAATACTATCTTCTCTCTGCATATGAATTCCAGTAGGTAGCCGGGCAGTGGTAGTGCAGGCCTTTAATCCCAGCACTCGGGAGGCAGAGGCAGGCTGATCTCTGTGCGTTCGAGGCCAGCCTGGTCTACAAGAGCTAGTTCGAGGACAGGCTCCAAAGCCACAGGGAAACCACGTCTCGAAAAACAAAACAAACAAACAAAAAACTAAACAACAACAACAAAAAAGAATTCCAGTAGGGAGCTGGGCAGTGGTGGCGCATGCCTTTAGTCTCAGCATTTGGGAGGCCGACACAGGTCAGTCTCTGAATCTGAGGTCAGCCTGGTCTACAGAGTGAGTTCCGGGACAGCTAGGGCTACATAGAGAAACTCTGTGTCAGAAGAAAAAAAAGAAAGAAAGAAAGGAAGGAAGGAAGGAAGGAAGAAACTCATCCTCAGTCACACACATCTCCAGTGAGAACCTTGCCTCTGGGACCAAAAGTCTCCTCTGAATTGCCTAGCAGATTGGGGACAGAATCCTGCCCCTACTCCAAACAGTTGGGTGTGGCTGGGCCTTGGGTGATAGAACTGACAGCAGGCCTTGAAAATCCTCAAAGTGAAAGGCAAGCCGATGGAGAGAGAGGAAAGGCAGCGAGAGAGTGCGGAGGGTGTTCTAATGCCTCCAATGCCCTTGCCTCTTTCCTGAGAGATTTTAGAAACCACTATTCTTCCTTCCCACTAAGGCTGCTACACTTAGCCCAGATTCTATGGGTTTTGACTACTCACATATGGCTTGTCGTCTCCCCAGCTAAGTTGTTTTGGGAAAGCATGTATCACATTTATATACCATTCATATCCAACAGACAATAACAAATTATGATGACGCTAGACAGATGCTCAGCAGTTAAGAGCACTGGGCTGTTCTTCCAGAGGACCTAGGTTCGGTTCCCAGCATTCGGGTGGAGGCTACCGACCAGGGTAAAACCCAGCTCCGAGCAATCCAGAGTCCCTGACACCGCACTTATATATATGCAGACAAAACATTCACACACAGAAACACACACACACACTTCGGCTACACTCGTTGGGTGGCAGTGGCGGCTCTTTGGTGTCCTTTAAAGCCCAGTTTTCACATCACATTAGTGGTTCTCTCCTGCTCGGCCGCCAGGGGTGTCCCATCAACACGCAGTAGAGTATACGGTTTTACAGTCCTGTGATTGCGTCCTGCGGACTTTCAATAGTTTCCAGTTCCTTGAAGCCTGAAGTCCTGTTTGCAACTTAATCGTGCTACTCTAGTATACTCTGCGGAAAAGCGCTGTGATCTTCTCCAAACCTAGCTTGAGATCCTTATCTCCCATCAGAGGCGCGGGTCATAGAGACGACGGGCGCAGAGCGTCTCCCCTGGCGGCACCACAGAGCCAACGCCGCGGCTGGCTAGAGCGCCGCTCGCCTAGCCGGCTTCCTCTCCGGTAGTTCCCAACATGGCGCAGTCGATTAACATCACGGAGCTGAATCTGCCACAACTGGAAATGCTCAAGAACCAGCTGGACCAGGTGAGGACCGGAGCCAGCACCTTCCTCGGGCTTCACGTCCTCCGGCCGCGTGAAGTCCCTCGTCCCCGCGCCTTCCCGCTGGGGGAGGCTTCCTTTCCCAGGGAAACCCCTATCCGGTCCCAGGTCCCGCCCCCTCTGGCCGTCCCCACATCTCTCTCGGGTTACCAAGCTGACCGTTTTTCCTGGCTTCTATAGGAAGTGGAGTTTTTGTCCACGTCCATTGCTCAGCTCAAGGTGGTACAGACCAAGTATGTGGAAGCCAAGGACTGTCTGAACGTGCTGAACAAGAACAACGAGGGTATGGGTTAGGCGGGTGAGGGCGCCTGGGGAACCGTCTTCTCTGTCGCCTCTTCCTAATCCAGTTTTCCTTAGAGAAAACTATCGGTTACGTACTGTGTGTAGCCACACGAGCCCCTGCATGTTGCCTACGGAAAGCTCAAATGCTCAAGACATTCCGCAGCTTCCGTCATCTCTGTTGCTGTTCTTTTCACTGTCTGGATACTGAGTCCTGTTGGAGCTCCCCTTAAAGTCTTCACGTGGGAGTGGCCAGCCTTCCCCAGCTGTTTGTCTTCATTACTTTCACAGGAAAAGAATTACTGGTCCCACTGACGAGTTCTGTATCCTTTCCACAGGAAATGCTACCTTGCCTTCTCCTTCAGTTCCCACAAACGGGGAGAATTTTGATAAGTAACACAATGATTTTAAGAACAGTTATAGCCAGGCAATGGTGGCGCACACCTTTAATCCCAGCAATTGAGAGGCAGAAGCAAGCGGATCTCTGAGCTGGAAGCCAGCCTGGTCTACAGAGTGAGTTCTAGACAGCTAGGGCTGTTACACAGAGAAACCCTGGCTTGTAAAACAAAAAGAGTCATACACACTTCATAGTTCTCTTGTCTAACTAGGACCAGTGTCTCTCTCATATTTTATCAGAATTCAGTGGAGAATTGAAGTGTAGCCGGGCGGTGGTGGCGCACGCCTTTAATCCCAGCACTCGGGAGGCAGAGGCAGGCAGATCTCTGAGTTCGAGACCAGCCTGGTCTACAAGAGCTAGTTCCAGGACAGGCTCCAGAGCTACAGAGAAACCCTGTCTTGAAAAACAAAAGAAAAACAAAGAATTGAAGTGTAACGATTGTCTCTGCTGTGTGGGGATGTTAATCTAACATGGAGATAAAGCTGGCAGTTGGCTGAAGCAATAGGAAAACATTAGGACATTGAAATTGAGAACTCGGCTCTGTTAGTTTCAGCTTAGTTGTGCCTCATTCCAAAACTACATTCAATAAGAAACCTAGATTATTTCCATCTGTTGAAAGTGCTCATCCATGAAGTGACAGACTAAAAGAAAAACCTGAAAATAGCAATGTGTGAAGAATGTCTAAGTTAAAATAATATCAGTATGGGGCTGGAGAGATGGCTCAGCAGTTAAGAGCACTGACTGTTCTTCCAGAGGACCTCGGTTCAGTTCCCAGCATCCACACGGCAGCTCACAACTGTCTGTAACTCCAGTTCCAGGGGATCTGATGCCTTCACACCAATGCACTAAAACAAATTTAAGCAAAGTATCTAGTGGGTAAAAATGTGCAGAAACATCCAATACTCACATGGTGGAAGGAGAAAACCACTCCCACCCTCTACACATGTTCCCTGGCAGACACATGTGAAAACATATACACAAAACTAGCAAGTGTAACATGAAAGTAATAACCCAAGGCTGGAGAGACGGCCTAGTGGTTGAGAACCGGGTTTGGTTCCTGCAGCTGCATGAGGCAGGAACCTGTTCTGACTTGTGCAGTGCCAGCCATGCCCTTGATGCACTGCATGCAATCTAAAAACAAAGCTTAAGAATTTGTAATGATCCATCAGGATTTATGGTTGGCGTTCCACTTGGACGGTTCTAGAACCTTTGGAAAGCATGGTTGCATTTGCTCTGGTCTTTCTGGAAAGACTACTGGGGAAACCCAGGAACTCCTCCAAGGGTGAGGCGTGGGATCAGGACAAGAAAGTTTCTAGCTTCTATTGTCCTCACAAGGAGCATTCTGCTCCTTGGTCTAAAAAGTTGCAGCTGTGTTAGAAAAGGAGACTTTGGGCTAATGGCTCTGGTTGACAAACCTTTCTCATGCTGGGCTAGTTTTCTCTTAACCCCTGTGTCTGAGATGTATGTCCCTGGGAAGCTCCATGACGTGGAACACGTGCTCATCGATGTGGGAACTGGCTACTACGTGGAGAAGGTGAGGCGGTGAGAAGGGCGTGGAGGGCAGGGTCTCCTTGTGTTCTTGCCTTTACCTCTGATCTTGCAGACAGCTGACGATGCCAAGGACTTCTTCAAAAGGAAGATAGACTTTCTCACCAAGCAGATGGAGAAAATCCAGCCAGCTCTGCAGGAGAAGCACGCTATGAAGCAAGGTGAGTTCTGCCCAGAGCGCCTCTTCTGTAAAATTATATCTATTGTCTGTCTTTCGGTCTCTGGGAGGTGGGGGTGGGGCACATGAGCGCCGTGGTGCATGTGTGGAGGTCAGAGGAAATTTTTCAGGATCAGTTTTCTCCTTTCACCCTGGGTTCTAGAGAGTAAACTCTCGTCACCAGGCGGCTGGCAAATGCTCTTAGCTGTGAAGCTGTCTCCCAGACTCCCAGGGAACTTCCTACCCGTTCTGCCGTGATAAAGAATATTCATTGCATAGGACGTGACAGCACACATCTGTAACCCCAAAACTGGGGAGATTAAATCAAGAGTTCATATCAAGACCCTGTCTCAAAAGAAAAACAGCAGCCAGGTTTTGTGGTATACACTTTAATCCTTACACTTAGGAGAAGAGGCAGGGGGATCATCTTTACTACATAGTCAGTTCAAGGCCACTGTGGACTTCATGAAACTCTTGTCCCTCCCCTCCAAAAAGACATAATTGGTGTAGGCTTGGGGATATATAGCTCAGTAGTAAGAGTGCCTAGCATGCTGGGCAGTGGTGGCGCACGCCTTTAATCTCAGCACTTGGGAGGTAGAGGCAGAGGGAACTCAGTGAGTTTGAAGCCAGTCTGGTCTACAAATCAAGTCCAGAACAGCCGGGACTGTTACAAAGGGAAACCCTCTCTCTAAAAAAAAAAAAGTTCCTACCATGTAAATGTCATGGATTAAATCCTGGGCACCACAAAAACACAAGAAAACCGCTGGGCGGTGGTGGCGCACGCCTTTAATCCCAGCACTCGTGAGGCAGAGGCAGGTAGATCTCTGTGAGTTCGAGGCCAGCCTGGTCTACAAGAGCTAGTTCCAGAACAAGAACCAAAAGCTACAGAGAAACCCTGTCTCGAAAAATCCAAAAAAAAAAAAAAAAACACACACACACACACACACAAGAAAACCTAAAATATTTACTTATATGTATGCATATATATGTATGTATAAATAAAATTTAAATGTATGCACATACACTGACATAATTCATGTATAATACTATCCATTTAAATGAGTAATCCAGCAGTATGTGGTGGATTTCCTGTAATTTCAGCATTCAGAAGGCTAAGGCAAGAGGATTCCAGGGTAGAGGCCAGACTAGAGTACATTGCCAAGATCCTGTCTCAGGAAACACAACAGCCTGGAGAAATGGCTCAGTGGTTTAAGAGCATTTAATCTGCTTCCCAAAGGCACAGGTTCAGATCTGTGGCAGCTCACAGCCACCTGAAACTCCAGTACCAGGAGATGTGACGTCTGTACTCCTGCATGAAAATGGTGCACATGCATATGCTCAAGTGCACATGAACACACACACACGAATAGGAACATTTAAAAATTTAATACTTAAACTATGGGGACATGGCTCAGTGGTCTTGAGTTCAAATCTCCAGCTAGGCATGACCCAAATGCTTGTAACCTCTGTGCTAATAGGACAGAGACAAATAGATCATGGGAGTTCACTGGCTGGGTGAGTTTCACCTTCAGTGAGAGACCCTATCTCAGGAATAGACAGAGAATGAGAAAGTAAGATAAGATTCCATGTTTTCCTTTGGTCTTCACACATATGTCTAGTGGTGGACATAGATAAACACACACTCGAGTTCAAAGAAAGAACATGGGTTGGGCTGGAGAGATGGCTCAGCGGTTAAGAAGACTGACTGTTCTTCCAGAGGTCCTGAGTTCAATTCCCAGCAACCACATGGTGGCTCACAAACCATCTACAATGAGATCTGGTGCCCTCTTCTGGGGTGCTGGTATGCACACAGGCAGAACACTGTATACATAATTAATAAATAAATCTTTAAAAAAAAAGAACATGGGTTGTAACGTAAAACTTGGAGGTATCTTCTCCAGGTTAAAAGCATGTCTCTGTGGATGGAGTGGGAGGCAGAGGCAGGTGGAGCTCTGAGTTAAATGCCAGCGAGTGCTGTCTTAACAACAATGATGTTTCTTTTTCTCTTGTGTCCTGATGGGTGATTTGGGGTTTGAGTGATTGAGAAGAAATCTGTTCATGGTTGGGATAAAGTGCTTATAAACGCAGCAGAATTCTAAGGAAACCCTAGCACAACCACAGTGGCTGCACACAGGAATCCTCCAGGAAGTTTAAAAAGAGCATAGATCCAATCACACCAACTAAGTCAAACTGGAAAGGGTATGGGAAGCTGATCTTGATTTATAAAGTCAGGGGAGTTGGTGGCTTTTTGTTTTTGTTTTGAGACAGGGTCTCATTCTGTACCACATTGCAGCGGTTAGCATACTGACTGACCCGGTGCAGGGAGTGTGTGTGTTCCCCGTCTTGGGTTCTCCCGCATAGTCCCCCTGGGTTGTAACTCTGCTCCTCCTTTCTTAGCCGTCATGGAAATGATGAGCCAGAAGATCCAGCAGCTCACAGCCCTGGGAGCGACGCAGGCTACGGCCAAGGCGTGAGGACGTGCTGCGGAGATGAAGCAGTGAAGGGCCCTGTTTCAAGGGGCCTGAGACTTTGTGGACAGTGGCCTACTGGTGTCTGGGAAGAGTTGTGTTTAATGTTAATAAATGTGCCAGCTGGGCAAATGGTGGTCTCTTATATTAAAAAAGGGTCGGGTGATGAACGAGGAGTGTCCAGAGCGAGTGCTCTTGCCTAAAACCCGAAAATGGGCCAATTACCCTGCCTTTAGAGGTTCCACCTTGGGCTCTCAGAAACGGGAAGAAAGTGCACGCATTTTTTCTGGGTTGCCGTGGGGACGGCTTGCGGGCGGAAGTGGAGCTGCACTAGACACTTCCTCTTCCGGGTCGACCTTCCAGTGGAGGGAACTCTATGGGTTTTCGTTTCCTGCATGGTATTCTATCACTGGTGCTGCCTCTGCGGTCAGTTCTCCAAACCCAGCGTCGTATGCTCGGTTCAGAGTCCGTTTCGCCCCCTAAAAGGCCTCGCTGCAGCCCCATGGCACCACCCCGAATCGGGACGCACAACGGCACCTTCCATTGCGACGAGGCTTTGGCTTGCGCCTTACTCCGCCTCCTGCCCGAGTACAGGGTACGGACTGCCTGCGAACCTAACTGGCTGGGTACCCTCTAGTGTTTGCTTCCCCTGAGCACGACCCTCCCCAAGACACATCCCCTTAGAGACCCAGCCTCAATCCTCTGACTGCTGCCTGACAGCCCCTCTATGTCTGCAGGATGCAGAAATTGTGCGGACTCGGGACCCTGAAAAACTGGCTTCGTGTGACATCGTGGTGGATGTGGGTGGCGAGTACAACCCTCTGAGACACCGTTATGATCATCACCAGAGGTGAGTTCACATACACCTGCTCTCTGGCTTTCCTAACTTTCGTTTGTGCTGCAGTCCCTCCTTCAAATGCACAAGTTCATCGCTGCCTCATCGTTGAATCGCCCTTAATCGCCCTGGGACTGAAACCCCCACAGGCCTCCCCTGCTTTAACCCTTGGCCTTGCAGCAGGCAGTTCAGTCCTTCTAATTCAAGGACCTTTTGCTTTTTTATTTTTATTTTTTTTTGTTTGTTTTTCAAGACAGGGTTTCTCTGTGGTTTTGGAGCCTGTCCTGGAACTAGCTCTTGTAAACCAGGCTGTTCTCGAACTCACAGAGATCCGCCCGCCTCTGCCTCCGGAGTGCTGGGATTAAAGGCGTGCGCCACCACAGACCGGCTGCTTTTTTATTTTATGTGTATGGATGTTTGGCCTGCATTTATGTCTGCACCAAGTGGACTGACGCCCACAGAGGTCAGGAGGTGTCAGGATGCCCGGGAGTTGGGGTTAAGGAGGGTTGTGAGCTGTCTCTTGGATGTAGGGTACTGAGCTTGCCTCTAACAAGAGCAGCCAGCTCTTTACCATTGCCAGCCCCGTGATGGCTAGTTTTAATTTTCAGTTGACATTCACCTAGAATTGGTTCAGTGAGGGATTATCTAGATCAGGCTGGCCTGTGGGCATTGAGTGGGAGGCACTAAATCCTGGCCTGCATGAGTCAGAAGGAAGCCAAGCACTAGAAACATGCATGTGCCTGTTTTTTCTCTGCTTTTGCCTGTGGGTGAGATGTGACTTGCTGTGTAAGCTTCTGCCTCATCTCTGCTGTGGTGGACCATAAGCTATGTTGATCCTGTGTTGACCTCTGTTTGGCATTGTATCACAAAAATGAAGTGAGCCCCTTCTTAACCACAGCATGATTGTCACCCTTCTCCCACCCCTCAAACCCTTGCTCACACTTCGGTCAGCATCCCCACTTTTCCTAAAAGAGAATAAACTTTTCCTGTTTCCTCATGTTCCCACCTTCAAAATTTCTCAACTCTCCCTTCCAATTTAAGAAAATGTACTCCCTGAAGATGGATGCCCCAATGTTACAGAAAGGATAGAAAAAAAAAAGAAAGAAAGAAAATGTACTCCCTTCTGTTGTGTTTGCAGTATTGAGGCTTCTCTGTAGCTCTGGCTGCCCTGGAACTCTCAGAGATCCACCCCCTCTTCCTCCCGAGTGCTGGGATTAAAGCTGTGTGCCACCTGGCTGCTGCTGCTGCTTCTTCTTCTTTTTTTTTTTTTTAAGGAAATATGTAAGTAAAGAGCATCTGCACGGAATGTAGACTTTCCTTGTCTCTAAAGTATAACACCCACCTACCTAACATCTGTATCCTATTAGGCATCGCAGGTAATCTAGAGATGATCGAAAGGATACAGGAGGAGGCTAGGCAGTGGTGGTGCACACCTTTACCCAGAACTTGGGAGGCCGATCTCTGAGTTCCAGGCTAGCCTGGTCTACAAGAGCTAGTTCCAGGACAGGCACCAAAGCTAGAGAAATCCTGTCTTGAAAAAAAGAAAAAGAAAAGATACAGGTGGAAGAATAGGGCCCCAACACTTAGGAAGTAAAGACAGGAAGATCATGATAAAGGTCATCATTTGTGAGCAAGTTTGACCTGGTCTACAAAGCCAGGACAGCCAGGACTGTACTGTTACACAGAGAAACCCTGTCTTGAAAAACCAAAAAAAAAAAAAAAAAAAAAAAAATTACCATCAAGAGAAAAATTTTTTAATTTATTTACTTATTATCTACACAGTGTCTGTCTGCATGTATGCCTGCTAGGCCAGAAGAAGGCACCAGATCTCATTATAGATGGTTGTGAGCCATATGTGGTTGCTGGGAATTGAACTCAGGACCTCCGAAAGAATAGTCAGTGGTCTTATCTACTGAGCCATCTCTCCAGTCCCAAGAGAAAAATTTTATAGCCGGTTGTGGTATCAAATGCCTTTAATCCTAGCACTTGGGAGCAAAGGCATACAAATCTCCTGAGTTGAGGCCAGTCTAGTCTACAGAGTGAGTTCCAGAACAGCCAGAGCTACCCAGAGAAACCCTGACTCCAAAAACCAAAACAAAACAAAAAATATACAGGAGGGCTGGAGAGATGGCTCAGAGGTTAAGAGCACTTGCTCTTCCAGAGGTCCTGAGTTCAATTCCCAGCAACTACATGGTGGCTCACAACCAACTGTAATGAGACATGGTGCCCTCTTCTGGCCAGCAAGCATAGAGACAGACAGAACACTGTATACATAATAAATAAGAAAATGTTTTAAAAAATATATATACAGGAGGATATGTGTGTCTTCTAGGCAAACACTGTCCCGTTTTACCTAAAGGATTTGAGCACCTGGAGGTCGGGTCCTCGAGGTCCTGTGAACCACAGCTGCTGCTGTTTGCCGTCCCTACGCGAACTGTAAAGGACAGGAGCTTAGGTTGCAAAACACAGCCTGGCATACAGTAAGCAATGAGTTCCAGCCGTTGTTGAGTGAATGCAGGAATAGGAACTTTCAACCAAGGCCTATGTTGGCACTGGAGGAAAAGCCAACATCATTCGAGTGGGTTTCCTTTTCCCATCCTGCTGATACCCAGGATATAAACTTGCGCACACACTAGACTTTTGGACCAGCTCCTCCACTGCAGCCCCTCCCTGTGCTCCTCAGGACTTTTACAGAAACCATGAGTTCCCTGTGCCCTGGGAAGCCATGGCAGACGAAGTTGAGCAGTGCGGGACTTGTCTATCTGCACTTCGGGCATAAGCTACTGGCCCAGTTGCTGGGCACTAGTGAAGAGGACAGCGTGGTGGACACCCTCTATGACAAGGTAGGGACTGTTTACACCCCACCCAGCTGGCCAGGAACGGCACGGGTGATGCAGCACTGGACTAGGCCTGCCAGTTACTGATTGTGGGGACTGTCTTAGTCACGGTTCTGTTGTTGTGAAGAGACACTATGACCACAGCAACTCTATAAAAGAAAGCATTTAGCCGGGCGGTGGTGGCGCACGCCTTTAATCCCAGCACTCGGGAGGCAGAGGCAGGCGGATCTCTGTGAGTTCGAGACCAGCCTGGTCTACAAGAGCTAGTTCCAGGACAGGCTCCAAAGCCACAGAGAAACCCTGTCTCGAAAAACCACACACACAAAAAAAAAAAAACAAAAAAAAAAAAAACAAGAAAAGAAAAGAAAGCATTTAACTGGGGCTTGTGTATGGTTTCAGAGGTTTAGTCCATAGCCTCATGGTGGAGAGCATATTGGCATGCAGGCAGATAATGCTGAAGAAGTAACTGCGAATTCTACATCCAGGTGGGCAGGCAAGGCTTGTCTTTTGACTTCCTCCAACAAGGCCACACCTCCTAACCTTTCTCAAGTAGCCTCACTCCTAATGCCTGAGCATTCAAATATATAAGCTTATAGGGGCCATTCTTACTCAGCCCACCAAAGGGACCCAACAGTCAGTCTCCCCATCAGGTATGTCCTGGAGTGGAGAGGACTGGACATTAGTGTTTAGGAAAGGGGTCTTACTACTTTATTATTTTGAGATAGGTTCTGCCTATATTGCTCAGGCTGGTCTTGAACTTGTGACTTAAGCAGTATGCTTCCTTCTCTTAAGTCGGGACTTATAAGTGTACATTCCCACACTAGTCTGGGGAAGGACTTTGAAAGCAGCATTTTCTAGTCTTTTTTGTGCCATATATTTAAAAAGAAAAAAAAAGAAACCCAATTATTCCAGGCGTGGTGGTATACACACTTCACCCAACACTTGAGAGGCTTAGACAGGAGGATCTTGAGTTCCAGGCCAGTCTGGATCCTGACTCAAAAACCTGACCAAACTAAACAGATAAGGCTGCTTATACTCAAAGGCATTGGGCTCAGAGATGTATCGTACATCTCTCAGTATCTCCATAATTCACTGGTGCTCAGTAGTTGGCAGGCTCAGGAGGAAAGGGACAGATTGCAGAAGCATCTCCAAGTTCAGGCCAAACACTACCAAGGACAACACTTAACCCTATTCCTGTGAAATTCACTGGTCAACCCTCAGATCCATCCAGTCTCCGTCACCCCGAGGTTCACTTTGCAGGTAGGCTGCTGAGTTCAGGCCTCAAGCTTAGTTCTCCAGCATCTGCTCCCGTTTGTAGTGACTAGGGTAACAGTTTTGGGAATGGCAAGGCTTTAAACAACTGGGGTCATTTGTTTCCTCTGCTGATGGGTTTTCTAAGTAGCTGATTTAGCCAGTTTTTTTTTGTTGTTTTTTTTGTTTGTTTGTTTGTTTTTTGAGAC